ACACACACACACACACACACACATTCACACACACACACACAAACACACAAGCATGCATCATGATATACGAAAATATTGAAAGGGTAAACAAAATAAAGCAAAAATAAACAAGCAAATAAAAGGAACTGTTGAAACAGTAACAACAGAGGCAATTGTCATGTAAAATCAGTTAAAATCCTTATCGAGACAATTGGGTCGTTCGTACAGAAAAAAGACCGACCACTGCGAAAAAGAAATTTTTAATCATTGTACTGCACAGACGAATACAAATTCCGATTCACACGTTCAGAAAACTAGAGCAGTGTCCAGACACAACAGACGGTGAGAAGGTGAAATCAGTTCAATTGTTAGAATAGTGGGATAACAGCAGACAGTCTGATTACTCACAAACAAAACACTGAAAGTGTTCATCATCTTGAGCTCCAGACAGAAAAGAAGTCTTGCTTGAGTAAAGAGAATCGTATCGACACGATAATGGCATTCAAGTGCGGTGGAAATGGAAGACAGACAGACTTGAACAAGAGCAGAGGAGAAAGAAAAAGTAGGACCTACCAGTAGGACCTCTAACCACCCGCAAAAGAAATCTAAAAACGACGTCAAACTACTTACCGAAATCTCTCCGGCAGAACTTCTGTTTGTTCAATCGGCGCACACGAGACTTGCAACTTCCGCAGTCTTGTTTTCCTGGGAATAAAACAATATACAGGACAAATTAGAGATAATTTCTTCAATTTGGGAACCGATATTACAAGTCCACAGAGTAACTTGCTTTGAAGAGGAAGCTGTTAGTTCCGTAAGGTGTCATTATTGTTATTACGAAAACAAGTTGCAGCGATATCTGGATCGAATAGCAAACTGTGCACTTTTTCTTCGGGTTGTTGGGGTGGAAAAAAGGTGTATGTGTGTGTGTGTGGTGGGGGGGGGGTCCAATGCTTTCACTGCTATTTGGCTCATCCTCTTTATGCGTATACAGGTACATGTATAGCCTAATTATACGTATGTATACGTACTTTTTAACAACTAGAACAGTTATTCTCTAAACGTACGAAACAATACTGTACGGAAGTCAATGTTATGATGAAGGGTGCAGGACGGGAAGTCGGTGTTCATAACCAGTGAAAAGAACAACGACTTCAAGAAAAGGACAGGTTTGAACAAATGTTAACAGAGTAGCGTACAGCACCCCTCTGCATATTTTTCACCCATGCAACGTCCGTCTGGTGGCCTTAAGCATGTTTGCAAACAAACATCCTCAACTGTATCATTAATTAATTATGAGCACATTGTCAAAAATGTATAAGAGAGAGGGAGACACGCCGATGTTCTGGGTCATGACATAGAAAGAGCTAATTACCCCTCTTCCTCTCCCACCTTCCGACGGATGCTGTAAGTGGGAACGGTGAAAGGGGGTTATACCAAAGAGTATCTTTGGTTATACGGTGACAAGCTTTCCAAGGTTGTAATCAGAAGCAAACTTCCGCGGGCAGACACTAACCACAGCGGAAGCCTACTTTTGTCGGAGGGAAGATAATAAATCCCGGTAATAAAGGTAACTCCGAGACTTCTCGTTGTCACCGCTGGGCACCGTGTGGGCTATTCCCGGGTACCTTACGAGTCGTTAACGGGACTGTGGTCGGGGAGTTGAAGTGAGCGCTATCTTAATTTTTATTGGTCTCAGGGAAACAGCCGTGGGTATCTACGACGAGAAGAAAGATTGGCCTAGTCTCTATCTACTTGTCGTGTGGTCTTAATTAGCGCCGGTAGAGAGCAAAACGTCACCTGAGTCAGTGATGCGGCCCGTGGTAGGTTTGATGATTGTGTAAGACGTGAAGGGGATTTCTCGCCACTGGGTCGATCACAATATGGTGCCACAATGTAGTCAGTTGAAGTTTTATACATTTTTTCCCTTTAATTTTCTTTTTTTTTCCCTTGATGT